ACCAGCTTTCACAGCCCTCTACTTGGAAGACTGATATTTTGGCAATATTTTTTTCTCAAATGTGAATGGAAAGAATAGTATTCAATTCTTATGTGTGAGATTTTGATTGCATCTGTCTTGACCTTTTATAATTTCATTTTGAGATGCTAACAATACAAATAAATGGCATACTTGTAAGCATGAAGGTATTGCCTAGATATTTTCTGTACATAAGTTGTATAAATTGCTTACATTGTACAGTGAAAGAAAGTCACACATTTCAGTGCACTAAATATTTTCAGTCTTTTGGCTCTCAATATTACTAGATGTTGAACATGGTCTCAAACACTTCCATAATATGTCCTTGAGAGATCTTCTAAAAAGAGGTTGCAGAGCATTTTTTATTATTACAGTTGCTGCCAACAAAAAAAGGTTGCCCTTTGCTGAAGGGTCTGTCAAATCAAAGGTGAGGAAGGTGCTCTTGTGCTCTACGGTAACTTGTACGAGTACACTGTGAGTGGAATCTCAACTGACCACACAAGATGGCATTTCAGCAATCACAAAGCATTCACTATTTTCTAATTACAGCCAGCACGTTCTTAGCAGACTGATGTTTTTAATGAGAAGTTATTCACTAGGAATTTCCTTTTTTTTTTTTTTAAATAATGTTTGGAAGTTAGACAGTGCCCTCTTCTGGGCATAGGCTCCCCTAGCAGTAGTTTGCAAAGCGCCCCAAATGTTGACAATTAGTGAAAATGAACACAAAATCTGTATTGTTCTCCTCGAGATATTTGCTGGTTTCAAGGAAGAACACTTTGTTGTGGTGTCTTATTGCATTCTGCTCTTGGAAGAGTATTCTGCATTCACAGTACTTGGAAGCGTACTGTGCAACAAAAACGGGTCTGAGTTTGGATGGCAAAGAGCCTTTTACTAATTAAATTTGAACCCAGTTGGCTTGAGCTGAGTGTGACTTCATCACAGGGAGCAGCAGGAGCACGTAGTGCTACACATTCCAGTTTTTACAAAAACAAACTTAATACTGTAAAAGCATATTCATCAGAAAAAAATGTCGTGAAGAAAAATGCAGATGAATTTGCTTCTTATGTGTTCTCTTGGATGTCTTTGTTGCATTATTTCACAGTTTAAAAAGTTATAATTATACTGAGAAGTCAAAAGTGTTGTTTTTCTCTTTGCGCTGTCTTTAAGTTGTTTTGATTTTTCTGTTTGTTGTTTCGAGGGGATGGCAATAAAAATAGCAACACTGTAAGTTTCACTTAATAATTCCATTCTGATGCCTTTGGATTTTTCCAGGGTCTATTAAAAAATACAAAGCAAAAAAAAAAAAAAAAAAAAAAAAAAAAAAAAAAAAAAAAAACACAACAAACAAACCCAAAACAAAACAAAGCAGTTTACCCAGGATGTAATTTGAATTTACATCCTACAGCAAAGAGGACAGAAAGAGATTAATTTCCCTAGTAATTTAATTGAAAATATTTAGTAAATTTAAAACATTAAATTAAAATTCTTCAAAAACAGACTGTAAAACTGTAGTAATCCAGCATTTACAGAAAAATTTAGGCTGATGGCATAGAAAGCATTATATATCCTTTCATGAAACTTGTATGATTTTCAGATCTCTCCTCCAGTTTTTCTCAGTACAGAAAACACATAGAGAGAAACATTTAGAAACATTTGCCTAAGGTTAACTCTGAGGGATTTCTATTAATTGACAGGTTGTTTATACCTTAGCTTAAAGATGAAGCAAAGCAGCTCTTGTATTTATTATATTTCACGTTTTCTGCAAATCTGCAGACTTTTAAAAGCAGATTGTCCATGCAGAGCAGCTGCCTGGTGCCACATTAGAGATTGTCATTCTGCTCACTTCAAAGCTGAACTTCCAGGGACAAAGGCAGCCCCTCCTACAGCACTCACTCTCTCACTCTCATGATGGCAGCTCTGGAGTAGAGATCAAGATGTGCTCCCAAAACACTCTGCCCATTCCTACCATAGCCCTGCAGGCAGGTTTTATTTACATATGCCTGCAGCTGGAAGCCTCTTTGCTTCATCAAGGGAGCTCTGTGCCCTCTGCACAGAGCTGTGAGCCTTGCAGTAACAGAGCCCCTTATTAATGGTCACGGTTGGTCATTAGCTGGTCACTGAATCTTCATTGATGGCCAGCTAATGTACATCCCACTGGCTTATTGTGAAGATTGGTCAAGATGGACAGTACAGGTAATTTATAGCTGAAGCCCCAGCATGCTAATGGCCTTCCCTGAGTACTGCAATCAACACAGTACTACTGAGTGGCATTACATCCTTCCTAATTTATTTCTCACTTGCAATTATTTCATGTTAAATGGAGACTTCAGATTTTATACTTAAAGATATTTTTGCATGTTTTATTTAGGGGAAAAACTTCTTTCTGAATTTAATAAAGAAAACAACCTTAATCTTAAAACTCTCTGGTTTTGATAAGTTTTGCCCTTATCAGAATATGTCTATTTATAAAAAACAAATTTATGCTCATAACATTCAACTATAAAAGGCTCAGAAGCCCAGCCAGAGCAAAAATCATCTCTCAGGGGAACCTGTTAGCTGCAGGAGCCTGGAGAGCGTTGATGGTTCAGCACCTGTGGTGTCTAAACTCTGTGAATCATGGATAAATTGGCCAGAAGTTACAGTCTCTCTAGCTGTGATCTTGCCAGCTCTTAAAAGCTATAAAGTTTCAAGCAAGCCTTGTCTTGGTAGGAAAGCCCTGGAAAAAGCCCAAGAAGTGGCAGTGATGCATTAGGTAGCCCTCTAAGTCTGGTGGATAATGCCATAGGGGATGTCCAATTATCACAGAAGCCTGCTTTGGCTTTACATGTGCAGGTACCTTCTTCCCTTTCAAGACTGCACAGATTCCACTGTGGCCAAGACATTCATAATCCTTTAAGGTTTTATATTTTCATTTTCACAAGTTCAAGCATCATAATTATGATGCAAAACCAAAACAAAAACAAACCCCAAAACCAAAACCAAACAACCCCACCCACCCCCCACCCTCCACTTGGTATATATCTGCAATGCAACTGCAATAAGAAACCAGGTTTGCATGGCAAGGAACCAAGAAATTGATCATGTTCTACTACAGGTTTTCATGCACTTGGCCCACATTAAGTGATGTCCCCACGCCCATCTCATTCCCTTCAAATGGCTTCAAGATTGAAAAAATCTTTCCCCCAGTGATTCCAAATTGCACTTCTTGAGCCATGAAGAGATTGAGAAATTGAGTTTCCTGGGAGGTGTCCTGACCATTGCTCCCTGGGGTGTGAAAACAGGAGCTATGCTTGTCTTTAAAAAGAGAGGTTTTGCCCTCTCACTGAAGGTACTCATATTTGTCAACTTTGCTTTAGAATATGTGAGATTATTAAAACTTCTCATTATTCAGAAATTCTATTTCATACTTTTTGATTATGAAAGAGACCCTTCTCTCCATCCTAGTTTCAAGTACTGGAATGCTCCTGTCTCCTTAGCAGGCATTGCTTGCAAAAGGTATGGTAGCAACCAAACCTTCCCGAAATGACTAAAAGAAAATGCGATCCTAAAGTTCCAAAACAGATTGTGAAATTAGCAGAGATGGTATTTGCCTTTATGTTGCATATTTGGAGCAAAAACGTTTGATTCTGTACCTCTTATGGCATGGATGTGAGACTTCAAGCCAGTCATTTATAAGACATTTATAAGACATTGATTGTCTTAGAAATGTTTATTTATTAGTAATTTATAATACACTTATTTCATAATTATTTGTCTTCTTTTTACACAGAATCCTGCATTTGTTTTCATGCCAAAAAGTAAATATGAAATTCAAATATTAATGTTGTGTGTTTGGGAAGGACCAGGTCCTGACCCAAAACATTGTATTTTTGAGGAAGTTAATTGAACGCAGATGGGCTTATGGCATCTTGGTACAGATTAAGTAGTACTAAAAATGCTTTTTTATTTTCTGTCCAGGAGCTGTGGTCAGTCAGCTTTAAAGTCCAAAAATTAAAAACCGAAAGTGTCAATAAAATATGAACTTGGTCTCAGCAGTAATATAAACTCCAAGGAAACATTCTCTTCAGGGGGGAAAAGACCACTTCTTAAATCCCAACACTTCCTTAAGTTACTGTGTAATTATCCCCTAAAGGAATGCACGTGGCAGTTTTGGAGAGTTGGTGCATGTTGAGACAAATCTCTTTACAGCAGCGAATGGGAGATCTTCAGCTGTGTCTGTCCTCTTGCTTTATCCAGTCTTGCCAACACACAAAAATTGTGCAAGTTGCCATTTTGATCTCTGCATGTGCTCGAGATAAAGCCCAAAGCAAAGTGGTACAAACACAATGTAAGATTCCGCATGAAAATAAACAAAGTGAAGGCATATTAGGTTTTTAAATCCTCATTGCAATGATTAAATAAGTAATGCTATGCATATATATGAAATTTCTGCTCCCTCCTGCATGCTCTGCTAATGGTTCTTCCCATTCTAATGGCTTATAATGTTCTGAATTTGTTCACATGAGATTTTTTCAAGTGCCAATACTTCAAACTTTCCTGCTGAAGTATAGCAATGAGCACACATCTTTCTACCAGCTATCTCTTGGGAATGGAACTCTGGAGGAATATACCAGCCTCTTTGCAGAAACCGCTGCAAGGCTGAGCTAACACAGATGTAATTGCATTGTCTATGTTACCCAACTTTTATCTTTTTCACAGAAAAAAAGGTATTTTGTTAAGTTAGCTCCTTTTGAAAAGGCATAATCTCTTGATAGCCTTACCAAACAGAAAATGTATTGAAAAAAATTACTGCTTTTACACATAATTTAATTTCATTTTTATTGTATTTATTTTCAGAAAATGTATTGTGTCAAGACAAGCAGATACTCTTGGAAACTTTCAAGAGCAGCTGGAAATTGGGGGACTCTGAATATTTTGGTTTTTAAAAAGCAACTGATTTTAAATTTTGAAATAAACATATTTTCTTACATTCTTTGCAACAGGTGGTTCTGCTAATCTAACCTGCAGAGCTTTCTTTGGATACAGTGGAGACGTCAGTCCTTTAATCTACTGGATGAAAGGGGAGAAGTTTATTGAAGATTTGGATGATAATCGAGTCTGGGAAAGTGACATTAGGTAAAAGAAAAAGGCTTTTTCTTTTTTCTCTATATTTTTTTGATAGTTAATGTTATACTTTTTATCACAGACTAACCAAGGTGTATATTGGGTCTGATCTTTTTTTTTGCAACATCATCCATTTACTTTTTGACTCCACCAGTAGAAAACAGAAAAATGCCCTCCTCAGCCAAATCTGATGTTAGAGACTTGAAAAAGCAGAATAGCTACCCAAAAATAGCTGTAGTGTTGACCAGCAGGAATTCACCTAGTGACTTTTTCAAAATGTGGCAATCTACAAAAATAATCACGAGGACACTTAGTAAAATGAAATAAAGAAAAATAAATATCTTCAGAAAATCAGCTCCAAAAAGTATTTTCAAACATGAAACCTTAAATAAATGGTGAAGTTTTACTTCCCTTTTGGAATGTTTTGATTTCTTCATGAAAAAAAAACTGAGTTTCCTGGGATGTTATCTGGCTTGTGAGAGCCAAGCATCCTGTTACGTGGGCTGCTTATATCTGCTGAAATACTTGTTTTGGAGAGGATCTGGCAATTCATGCCATATACTTCTACTGCTCCTAAAAGTGCTGCTTCATTTAGAAATTAGGGACAAATGTGGATTCATATTGAGAATTACATGCTTGACATAGCATACTAAATCCTATCCAATATGAAATATCTGCTTGGATCTGAAGAGATTCCTTTTTCATTTATAACTCTCTCTGTGTGAATACCACTGTTTCTATGTATCACAGAAATTAAAACTCAGAAATTCAGGCACATCTTAATGTGCATGTAATGGTTTAACCTCAGCCAGCAAAAAAGTTCCACACAGCCACTCACTCACTCCCCTATTATCCCCCTCAGGTGGGGAGAAGTATCAGAATAAAACTTCTGGGTTGAGATAAGAACAGTTTAATAATTGAGACAAAATAAGGGATTATAATAATAGCAATAATACTGATTATAATAGTAAACATATATTATTAATAGTAATTGTAATGAAAATGAGACATAGAGAAATAAAACCCAAGAAAAAGAAATTATGCACAATACAATCACAATTAGTAAAATCAAGTAGACAGCAGAGACTTTCAAGGTTGTCATCCCCAGATACAGGCAAAAAGGAAGTCTGTTTCACCCCAGTGTACTTCAAGTTTATTCTACAAAAGTCAAGATCAATACACTAAATGGCACATGACAATAGGACCAGCTATATTTTGGGTTTAAAACTTTCCCAAGTCCTTCAGCCAGTGACTTAGCTATTTGATGACTGACAAAAGAGTGACAAGAAACTTGTTACAACTTTCTTGTTTTGTGGAGGGAGGAGCAGAAAAGCTCATTTCCACTTCATTTGTCAGGCCTGGAATCATTTGTCATTGCTTTCCTGAGTTTCTAAAACCACTGATGGTCTTGTTAAGAGGGAAAGAAAGTAATGGGAAGACAGGTGGAGTCTTACACAGGAAGCCTTTTATTTATAATCTCTATTAGCTAGCAGCACCTGGTGTACCAGTTCTTCATACTACTTGATAAAACATTATCAAATTTTATAATGCATTCCAGAAATCATCTCCCTTACCATGGCATGAACACATTGTTCCTGAGTGGCATGTTGAAGACCCTCAGAAAAAGGACAAATACTGTGTTTGGCCCAGACTCCTGGTGTGAGTCTAAAATCCCAGAATAATTGTTTTCAGTTTTCTCCTACCATTCCAAGACTTCATGGATCAGAGTCTCCATCAAAGTGTGCAATCATATATTATCCATGAGCATGTCATTCTTCTTTAAAAAGAGAAAGAACTGCAGCTCTCATTAACATTTACAAAGCCAAACCTCCTCATTAGAAGTGAGGAAGAAAAGGCCATGATATAATTAAATTAAGATTGCATCAAACCATAAGCAAATTTGAAGCCAGAGAGTTGTGAGTTGTAAGTAGCACTGTTATGTCAGGATTATCTAAAGCTTCACTGTGGTACAAGCAGAACAGCAGCAATTGTTGTTTTTTCTCAGGGTTCTCAAGGAACATCTTGGGGAACAGGAGGTTTCCATCTCACTGATTCTTGACTCAGTCGAAGAGGCAGACCTAGGAAATTATTCCTGCTACGTTGAGAATGGGAATGGACGCCGGCATGCCAGTATTCTTCTACACAAAAGGGGTAAATATGCAGCTTTTCTCCATGGAAGGGTAAAGTGTAGGGGTGGTCAGTTTGTACGGATTCCCTCTGATGCAAGCATGAATTTTAGCTTCCTAAGAATTAATAGTCAATGGTTATTTTTATCCAGGAATTTGTATGACTTGCAAAATGAAAGAGAAAGGATGTTGTTAATAATGGCTGTCACTGGAAAAAAATACAGTAACACCTTTTAACTAGATCTCTATAAAAAATGCTTTTAATAATTCATTAACTTTAAAATTAATGAAGGCTCAATAGAGAAAGAATAGTAGGAAACCACAGGTGATACAACTGTAATAATTTTCTATAAGAAAAAGAAATCAAATTTTAAGAAAACCAAAACCAAAAGCCTTCCACTTCTCTCAGAAATGCCACCTAAACCCCATGCCAGGGGGGTTCCTGCATAGCCGGACCTGGACATTTTCCTTCCAACACTTTTGTTTAACATCAACACTTGTGAAGTGAAACATCATGACAGAGGGTTCTAAGAACCTTCCTGTTTCTCCTCACCAGCCACATCCCATGACCCCAGCCTGCCTAGTGGCCACAGCCATCTCCCACCGAGGTGATTACAGGGAGATGCAGAATCTCCTGCAAGTCAAAGCTCCCAGACCCACTTTGTCCACTTTTCCTCCCAGAGGGAGCTCCACATCCCTGGGATTGACACTTCCCACCCTCATGTTGACTTTAGGAAGCAAAGAATAAGCAGGAGCAGTGTCTGCATTTTGCTGACATTCCTGTGCTTTTTTTTTAGATTGTTTGTAAAAGTGAGCAAACCAGGATCTTAGTGTAGTGCTGAAGTACTTGTGGCATCTCAATTGATATCAAAGCAGTGATATCCTCCCTAAATTTAGTTTTGTAGCATGCAAAGTCTGTCTAAGCTTAGAAGGAAACCATAAATCAAGACAGTGTGACCAATTTATTTAAACATATTGTTGGATACCTCAATTACTGGAATAGAACTTCATTTGTAGCCATTTTTCTAAACTCTTGTTGTTGCCGCTTAAAAGATGCAAATGTAAATTACCAGATGTTCTGCTTAGCCTGGAATTTGTCATATTTTCTCGAATTTTTTGAGATGAGAAATTAACTTATTAAGTAGCTGAACTTCAACAATATACATGCTAGTGGTCATATACTCTGGTTCAGAGACATTTGAACCCAGAGCAAGAGCTTAACCCAAAAAACACTGAAATCCAATAGCTTGCTCTAAATAATTTTTAAAGCTCAAATCACTTTCAAACCAATACTTATTTGACTGACACCTGTTAAGTCACATGCTGATGGTTAGTCCTTATTTTTTTCCACACAAGCAGTAGCTCCAAGATTGAAAATGTGTAAGTCTTCTCTGTTCTGTGACCACCAGATCTCTAATTTAACTTTGTGCATGCATGAATTTTGCAAGAATCTACTTTCCTTGCTCCCTTTCTTAGAGAACTCAGTAAGTCAAACATACCCCAGTATGTGGTCTCATGATAACATGCTTAAGAGGGAGTAATCTCAATATTTAATTGCCCTTATAAATAGTAAAAGGACAAAAATAGCAAAAAAACTCCCAAAAATATTTTTTTCCCTCTTTAAGTAAGGCTGAATATGAAATAGATCTGGAAGCAAAATCTATTGTGCCCTCAAAAGACAAAAGGTACCAGATACAAGCCTTCTACACATTTTGCATGTTGACAACTGTTTCAGTGAAATGATAAATTAAGCATGGCAGATAAAAATTTGAGCTAGTCTCTCAGGTCTCCTAGGAAGAGGAGTTTTGCACTGCTTGCTTAGTCTCCTGTATATCACCATGACAACCTTCGGTTTAGGTTTCCTTGTTTAGATCCATATTTAGCCCCTGCTAGGAATGAGTTAGCTCTTTATTAATTTCTGATTATTTGGCTGACTTAGACCAATTGGGACCTAACAATTAGGAAAATTTACTTCCTGAACACCAAGATATTTGCAGATGTAGTAGTTTTGGCTGGTTTTCTAGCTAGTGATCCTTTTTTCCAGCAGTATAAGAGTACAAAAAATGATGAATCTGGAATGTTCACTGCATACCTGAAAAAGAAATTATAATTCTTCTTCAACTTCCTGTGTGGAACATTATCACTAAGATCAGAAGGGACAGCAAAGCAGAAAACTCTGCTGCTGAACAAAGAGAGTTCCTGGGAAAAAGGGTATTTAGGGCTAAATGCTGCAGTGGGTATTCAGGTACAAAGTTTAAGCCTTTCAAACACCCTTGCAACTCCTGCTTCACTCAGGTCAGTAGAGTCTCTGTACACTGAAAAGTCCAGGGGGAGATTTTAGCCATACCTACACTTACATAGGCCCTGAAAGCTTAAGAAATCAACAGTATAAATCACCACAAAAAGCCTGGATTCATCTTCCTTAATATTCCACTGGTCAGCCCGACAGGGACACGCTGTCACCTCACAGAATCCCAGCCTCACAGCAGGCTCCATCAGAGGCTGGTCCTGGCCCAAACCAGAGCCTGGCACATTCACCAGGGAGAAGGGGCTTCTGCTCTTCCCCTGACGTGGCACTGGAATGGGAAGCCAGAGCCTCTCCTTTAAAAAAAAAAAAAAAAGGAAAAAGAGAGCAACCAGAACCAAAAATATTTAACTTTCATCCCTTCCTCCACCTTTTGACCAAATCCCTGTCACCCTTGCAATATCAAGTTATTTTCTCTTTTGTATGGGAAAAAAGAAAATCTACTTGTCATAATCGAAGGTTGATTTTGTTACTTACTGGTGATAGGTGCCATTGATCATGCAGGGTAATCTTCAGCCAGGTAGGGGAACCTTCTAGAAATTAATTTTCATAGTGGTGCTGACAGCAGCTAAGCAGATTTATTAATGAAAGACCACAGACTGCAGATGATATAACACCTGGATCACAGATTACAGTTCCTTTTTTTTCATAAGTTTTTTAATTAAAAAAGACAAACCTATAGTCTGTCAATGTAGTAGATAAAAATTCAATGCATAAGGAAAAAGAATGCTTTTCTGCAATGTTAGGTATTGACAAGTATGAATTTCATGCAGGATCAAAGTCTTCATAATCTTATTTTATCATAGACTGTATTGTAAATACAGGTTATTATCTAATTATGTGATTATTTTTTTGAAAGTCCTCTCTGTATGTCTGCAAGTAGAACTCTACAGCAAAAATAATCTCAAATTCTATCTTGGCAGTATTCTTTAAGTGGTATGGATATTATTTTAAAAGTTTAATAATATTACTGGTATTTTTCCTGGGACAGACACCAGAACTAAGGTAACATGATCTCATGCATTTTTTCAAAGTATCTACTTCCCTTTGTTCCCATTCTCATCTACACAGTATTATCATCTAGTTTCCTACCCTTAGCCTCTTTTATGGTTTCAGTTTGTTTTCCTCTGTCATAGGTGTTCTCAGTGGGCATATATGAATCTTGTTGACCATAAGTTAATGAGGCATAGTTAAAATAAGTTTGGGGTTCTTTTCCGGTAAGAAAAAAAATATGTTCACAGAAATAAATTGTTTAGAGAAAGAGTATGCTTAAAATTGCCCATGAAAATATGTTTGAAAAATATGCAAGGTAATATTTCCTAGATGGAATGCATCTTGATGAAAACTACCTTATTTTAAACTCATCATTTCTTAATACATAAACATTATATTAATATTTCCTGTACAATGTAATAGAACATTCTGAATAGAAAGTAATTCCAAATTATCTTCGTATGATTATTAATAATAATAGAATGGCTGACAAGCACCTTAAATTGCAGTGCCATTCACATAATAGTGTAAATCTGGTTTATTACTTACAGTCTTGAATGTGTTATATGCATTTTCAGTCAGCTGGACACAATTTCACACAGTGGTAGTGATGAGTGACAATTAAGACTTAAAAGAGAAAAGAAACTAGTTCTTTTCTAACCTCTGCAAAGAAACCCCAGGTGTTATATCTCCTTTCACCTAAAAGCTTCACAATGTTTCTGAAATTTCTGAAAGGAAACTCATCATATGAAATATGAGAACAATGAGTTAGATTTCAGCTTCTGCTAGCTGGACCTGAGTACTTGTTCACTGCGGTGAATCTCTGAGTCTCAGTGGAGAGACTCAGTGGAAGCTAAACTGTTGAAGAACTCCAATCCACTTGGTCAGTTCCAACCTTACACGAGTCTATCTTCCATTGCACAAAGCATTCAGTTTTTATTCTGCACTGCAGGAAAGGCTTTTCCAAGACCCTCATCAGGTTTTAGAATTGGAATTGAAATTGGATTGGATTTGGTGGAAATTGATTTTTCATTCACCCATGGCCATTGAAGAAGCCTTCAAGTTGTCACTGTGCTCAGCAGTGCAAATGTCCATTCTCCCAAGAGGTTCATGACACAGGGCCAAAGGTCAAATATCAGCTCCCTTCTTGTCCCAAACCTAACTAAATGTGACTGTCCTTTCACACTCAGCCTCATCTAAAATCAGTGAAGGAATAGAATACTAAAGACCTCTGCCTGAAAGAAACTCTTCATAAGACCACTCTTTTAATCAGTCAGGTTTTTCTCATCCTCTAGAAAATTGGTCTAAGATAACTCCAGTAAAAGGGTTTGTGAGATTACTCAGCATGTGCCTAAATCTAACTTTCATCTCACAATTCTTTGTGCTGGCAATGTGTCAAACAAGTTGGTTTGTTTAACAGATTACTTTTTTAAAAAACTTTTGTACCACTTTTATCATAGTACTTCCTTTTATATAATGTCTAAGTGCAAGTCTAACCTTGATTGGCAAGGATGAAGATATTTTAAAATAAAATGTCACAAATTCTTCCCATAACCCATGCATAGCTAAATTATTCTTTAATACCACCCTCAGAAAAAAAATGCAAACAGTATGCTTTACGATCTTACATCCTTGGAACTCAGTACTTAATATTTTCCCCACATTTTTAGCACCCCTCGGTGCCTCTTACATTCATTTCTTTCAGAAATGCTAAATGAAGTAATATT